AGTGTCTGTACATTGAATTTAAAGAGGTTTAAAAAACATTTAAATGGTTTAACTAGCTCCTTCTGGAGGAGCAGTTCCCATCTGCTGAATATATAATAAAAGAAATAAAAAACAGCCACATTTTTGCTGTGTTTTCTGAGCTTTGGCCCTTGGTTGTCTGATTTAGAAAGGTGGTCCAGCCAGACCAAGGGATAAGAGCTGGGCACATCTCCTGCCTCTTCTCCAGGGCACATCTGCAGTGGAGACAACTCCTCCTGAGCCACAACCAGGGCACAATCTGCATCCTAGCAAAGAAAAGGCACTTTAAGGTCTGTCCTTGGGTCAGACCTTAAGGTCTCCCATCAGAGGGATGTGTTTTGTGCACGTTGTGTCATCACATCCTCCCAAAATCGAGGTTCTGTGTTGAATTCTTTAAGGCTTTTGAGCAGCACCGGGCTAACAAGAGTCTTTTCCCTGTAATCTGATTTTGTGAGGCCTGAAGGGGTGGGTAAAACATCCCCACTGTGCACTGAGAGGGTTTTTGTACCCCAGAAACAGCAGATTCCTCATTGCTGGGGATGAGCTCCAGGTGGGGATTTGAAGCTCTACACTCCTGGAATGCCAGTGGAAGGGAGAGCAAAGCTGGCTCCCTGTGCTCCCATCCCATCCCTGGGGAGCTAATTAGTGTGGAAACACTTGCTGGAAGTGCTCAGCCATCTCAGAGTGCTGGCCTGGATGGGATTCCCACTCTTGGATCAAAAGCTCCAGGGCAGCTTTGACAGCCTTCCCTAAATTCCCAGGAACAGACTCCAAGATATTTAAGAATACAATCCCTGAACTGCCTCAATCAAATATTGGACTAAGCAGGAGTTGTCTCATCCACCCCCCCCCCATGCTCAGTTCTGTTATCCAATGGGAAAGAAATCCAGGATGGGGCTGTGGGATTATCAGTCTGTAGGAAATGTTAATTTTAAGCCTGGAAAACAGTTTCCAAGCATCCAGGAAGACGGGAAAACATCACTCCTGCTTTTAAAAAGGGAAGAATGGAAAAGCCAGTGAGCCTCAAGTGTGCACAGGTGGGATTTAGGTGGGATATTGGGAAGGAATTCTGGGCTGGGAGGGGCCCTGGCACAGGTTGCCCAGAGAAGCTGTGGCTGCCCCAGCCCTGGAAGTGTCCAAGGCCAGGTTGGAGCAACCTGGGCTAGTGGATGGGCTAGTCCCTGCCCTGGGACTGGATGGGCTTTAATGCCCCTCCCAACCCAAACCATTCCATGATTCTATGATCTTCCCACCACCTCTTGTGTCTCAAACCCAGCTGTCTCACCAAACCCCACTGGCAGCAATATCCTCCACGTGCAGTCCAGGTTGCTGGGGTAATTTCCTGGGAAGCCTGGGCTCAGGAGCACTCCTTCCATCTCTTCTGCTGTTCCTCCACACTGGGCTGTAAAACCAACAGGGTTAATGGTCAGTATCCCTCACAGGTCTCTCTGGAGGATGGTCATGGCCAGCTGTGTGGGAAATGAAGAAATGAAACACTTGAGAAGAGAAATAGGAAATCCTGCTATGGAACCAACACAAAGCTGGCCAAGCACATTACTGATGCAGGTGTCTTTTTCCTGCCCTCTGGAGATTAAAGCCTGGGCCCAGAGACCCAGTTTTGGCAACCACGGAGGGAAAGCCAGACCTGAACAGCAAGAATGGAGCCAGACATTGTGTCAGTGCATGTCATGCACCAGCACTTGCTTGAATTTTTAACCAACTGAAAAATTACTGTGGAGAAACAGAGTGATCCTAATTTTGACTCCAGCTACAGCCACTTCTTTTCCTTGTTACCTGCTCCACCTGCCAATCCCTGGGCAATTACCACCAAATATAGAACAGGGTGTTTGCACACCCGCTGCAGTCCATCCCCTCCCAAGGAGAGATCTGTAGATGACAGCCCAAAAATATGTTTACAAAAGGCATCACATGAAATTTAAGCACACAGATAGCATCTTCTCATGCTTATCTGGGTGACCTCTGCCTGGCTACAGCAGCACCAGCCAGCTGGATCCACCCAGGTGGATGTTCCCCTAACACGTTCTGACAGCAGGGGACAGGCTCTTTGTCCAATATCTCATTACGTGTGTACTTGCTACTAACAAGGTTTCTCCCAGAAGATTTCTCTTTCTTTTTCTTCTTAATGGCTCTTTAATAGAACTATTTCTGAATTATTTAGAAGTCGAGCATCTGGGCGAAG